CCACATATGAGGCTGAACATGAAAACATTTCAGGGGAAAAAAACAGAGTTAATATGCAAAAGAAAAATCAAATTTAAGTTTGTCAAATCAAAAGCATCAGTGGACTTTGGTGTCCCTGCCGCACTGTGATTGATGAGTCAAAAATGGCCAGTCATCACAGCCCTGGAACATGAACCCTTTAATTTTTGGCAACACCTGCCCTCCCCGGATAAGGTTCTACCCAAAAGCCATAGCTCTGACAGTGTCCATAAGAGGTAATGGTAAACATTACAATCTGAGATTAGCAAGCTCTGAGGCTATGGGGATATCAACAGGATAGGGCTCTTGGACTAACCAGAGATTGCCTTCAGCCTATCACTGGGAAGAGAAAAATAGCTTATGCTTATGCCAGCCTGGTCTCTGCATATCCACATTCCAGGCTTCCTGCCCAGATACACTGAGTTACTTTTATTTCTCAAGCAGGAGCCAACTGATCCTTTCTCCGTGTTTTTAGCTTGGAGTCCACACAAATATTAATATTTCTTTGCATTTTAGCCCTTTATAGCATTTTGATGATGTGAAGGAACCTTAAATTAGATTTTTCCCTCCACTTTAAGGTCTGCTGACACTCAATTCAGTTAGTGTCATTCAAGGCTCATTTTGTCTTTTTTTCCAAAGCGTAAAATAGGGAAATGCTATGGAGAAACTAGAATAAATTTAAAAAAACCCAAAAAACAAACCACAACAGTCTCCCTTACAACAAAAAACAAACCACAACAGTCTCCCTTACACAAGTAAAATATTCTGTGGCTAAAAACAAGCTTTCTGATTGCCAGTCTGTTCTGCATAGTTCAGCTATATTTTTTGGCATAAACATTGCAAGGGCTTTTGTCCGATGTGCAGAAGCTCGCGTTTCACTGCCATTGACCATCACAGAGCTATTGTTTGCAAAAATGTGCTATTGCCCCATCCAAAACTGACAACACGCTGGCTCCAAGTGTTTTGCACAGAGCTAGCACCTGCTAATACAAATGTAAGATGTAAAAGCATGCTACAGTTTCTGCAAAAATATTCGGTCTAAGGTCTACACGGTATAGGGAGAGAGGAGACTGCTTTTCCTTGGTATGTTACTAGATGTCCTAAAGCAATTGAATGAGTTACAGTCTGTAATTCATTCAATAATAAATTGCTGGTGCTGCTGCGTTCTTCACAGCCTGTTTTTTTAGTGTAAATTGGCTGTCCGCATTCCTTAAAGGCTTTGAAAAATCTCCCTTCAATCTCTTTCCACTGTACTGCTAATTGTTATCAACAATAATTTACCTGTTATGACTGGAAATGTATTTGGATAATGCAAACACATGCAAGATGTAATGAAATTACTGGCTGTTTGGAATGATTTTTCTTAAAGACATGGACCTATTTTTTAATGAGGAAATATTTAACCAACAAAAAATGCTTGCACCTCTGTGAAATGACATTTGCTGCAAAGCTGGTGAAATGAATGCATGCAAAAACATTACTGTGCTTGTGTATAAAGCTCGCAGTTGTCTTCTAATCAGAGTTGTATTTTCTGTGGTTTACTTGTTGACAGAAACAAGTATTGCCAAGAAAATATTTCTTCCCTGAAATTGCAAAATTCTAGTCTTTTGGTAGTAGAGGTTGACAAGGAATGTTTTTGTCTGTCTAAACCATTAGGATGTGGAATACAACCATGTCCAAAAACATGGTCTGAAAGTTGGGTGGGCTTCTAGCAGGACGTGTAGTTGGTTGTGTTTTGAACAGCTGCTCTTCCTGAAGTTACACTCTGATTAAAAGAGATGTTTTCTTGTTAATCCATCCCGTGGCTGAAGTAACAGCTAAAAATAAAGAAAAAAGAGCATGGAAAGCAATATGCTAGCTGGTTTTTATTAAGAATAGAAAGCAATGCTGTCAAGGACTGAAAATAATTTCCTGTGTCAGAAATCTTAGAGTCAGGGTGCTTCTGTAATGGGACCAAAAGAGATCCCACAGATAAGGTTAAGGTTGCTGAATAATCACTTATTTTGCAAACATATGGTCTAACATCTGAAGGCTTATTCAAGGACAAATATTTCTCTTGGACCTGGAATTAAATATTGACATTAAGAAGTTCTATATATCGTCTAGTACCTGAGACTCAGCGCTAAAATCTTATTTGAATTTATAAATATTTTTCCTCGATTACTTTGGTGAAATAATAAGTGTACATAATACCTCCAGATCACAGATTTACTGTGGGTTTTTTTTATTATTATTATTTCTAGTAATTCACAGAGACAAACCTGAAAAACAAGAAAAAATTGGGAGGAAGGAACCCCTAAAGGGTATGTACTCAGCATTTGATGTTCTTTGTCTTTTTGCCAGTGGTTCAAAACAGTCTAATCTATTGACTCTTAGACCCTTCTTGTAAATCCCAATTATGTTTAAGGATTGAGGAGGTGTTGTGAAAGCCAGCTGGAAGGGGAATGAGGATTTTAAAAGCACTTTGAATTCATCACTCTGCAGAAAAGCTAAAATTATATTCAGAGATTAATGAAGAAGTTTTTACTGTATTATTAACTTACATAAAAGATGCCCAGAGCATAAATAGGTGCCTTTTTTATTATTCTTGAATAAATCCAAGCATAATATTTGTCTTTGAGAATACTTCTGAGCAAAACATAATGAGTAAATTATAACATAGAGGGCACGGTCCCTGGAGACATTCTGCTTCAGAGACCTGCTTTAGAAAAAAAATTTCCACAGACTCATTTCAGAGATGTTGGGGAGAGGGTGTTAGAGAGGATTTACTAATTTGCTGGTGGTGTATGCCAACAACGAATTACAGATCTGCCTGTTACAGGAGTCAGAATCAGGATACTGCTTCCTCTCCACCCACAACTCATGAGTTAGCTCTGGGCTCCAAGAGCCACCATATAGTTTGCCTCTTGTGAGGGATTTTTTGGCAAAATGGAATTTTGTTGGGACATACCTACTTGTCAAAACACTTTAACCCTTCTGAGAACATGTCCTTTATATAAAAACGTGACTAATGAAGTATTAGGCTAGAGGAAGAAGCCCATTCGGGAAGAGCAAATAGGCCAGTGGTCATCATAAATCACCCAAAAAAGGGAAGACTCAATATCCAGCCATGGCTGATTTATTTCAGACTGAGAACACGAGTCTCACAGCCCAAGTGAACGTGCACCTTCCTGAAATCTGTGCTTGACTAGGCCTTACTAATGGTCTCTGATTGGAGCTTTTCCTTTTTATATAAATAATTCAAAAGACATTCAGTTAGCAAGACTGACTCTAGAGGCTAATAGCAGGCACGTAAGTTCAGGTTTCACTTAGAATGAATATTTACTACTAGAAAATGGAATGGTGGTAAGAAGAGATTTTTTTTCAGAAATTTAGAAAAATGACAAAGCAAAGACTATAATGTCCCATATTAAAACATGAATGTGTGATTAAGACTTCTCTTGTTATTTTGTGGAAAACTTGGGAAACTTTTCAATTTGATTTGATAGGAGAACAATATTTAATGTTTTTAAAAGTTTCTTAGAACAGGAAAAAATGATCCCAGCCAATCTTAACTTGTCATAACTCCCACTAATATTCTGTCTACCTAACTGTATTTTATCTTAAAGTGAATGTATTACTTAGTTTTGTTTAGTGAACTATTGCTACAATTGCTACTAAAACACTACTACATATAGAGATTCTCTGTATTCATAGTGCTAAGAAAGATTGCTTTCAGACTGTACATTATATTTTAAAACTATGACTATGGATGCATGTCTTTCTAAGGCCCATTTCATTGTAGTGTGACTGGGAGACTCTAAAGTTTCACTGCATCCCTGTATTTTAACTGTTTATTTTCTCCTTTAAATACATTCCCTTTTCAAGAGTTAGGTAACGGAGAGAGTAAATAACATCCTTTTCTAATTTCTAATCACCTTCTGTGATGAAGTTTAGGAAAGTTATCTAATGACACAGAGAATAATTAAAAGTGTCTCAGTCACTTAGAAGTGACTCAGTCAGCTGTGTCAGGAACTCATTCTCATGTATTACAGAACTATATTGCTAAAAAAATGCGAGCGCCTGAATATTCCCTACCTTTCTTCTTTTGCTTCCAGTTAGATATGGAATTCACGGTACTGTAAAAGAACTTCCTTATTTTCTCATGTTTGACAAAGGGAGTTTTACTAAACTGGGATGAAATCTCCACAGGAGTTAGAGTTAAAGGTAGCTTGCAGTTTCACAGCTGATTTTTCTGAAGTGCTCCAAAATCCACATGTTTATTTCCCATTGTCTGGAAAATTATTGTGTAAAATCCTAAGAAAAGTGAGTGGAAAATATTACGTGAATGAGTGGATAGCATAATACAGTTTCCACTGTCATAATGTTAGTTTTTACTTTGCATGTACTGGGCATCTAATTATGGCTCTGAGATCATCATTGCCGGGGACTGATCTCAGCTAGTGTCCATTACTAGCTATCCATATCCATTACTAGCTCTCCGTATCCATTACTGGTTATCCATTTCAAGCCAGCTGGCAAGTGACAGACATGTCATTTGTGCATGTGATGCTCTTATGCTCCAGGATTGATTCCAGGGTTTTTATGAGCCTCTGCCTGACAGTATGGGGTGGCCCAGGTGATGTCCTCTTTCTAGTGCAGGCAGCAGCATTTACTGCGAGCTCTGCCTTAGTCCTTGACGGTTTTCTGAAAATCTCACTTCAGGAATGGACAGACAATTGCAAAGGATGATGTTACTGTAGTAAACAGCTGAGGCATGTTGCCATGGCTTGGGTGGTAAGCAGTGACTTGTTAGCCAGAGTTGTCTGCTCACACCCACGTAGTATCATGTATGCTGTGCAGGTATGCACGGGATAGTTCAGGAGTAACACAGTTTGCCATTTTGACTCCTAAGGTTTATCTTGGTAGAATTATTTTTGATTCTTGAGTTTTTCCACAGTTTTTTTAATATATATGAACACATTTCTTCTTTCCTAGTGACACATAAAGACAAACTGGAAAGACAAGAAAAACCTGAAAAAAAGGAAAGACATGCAGGTAATGATTTAATGTCAGAACTTATTTTACATTTTGAGGTACCCCAGAGCTAATTGTCTACTCAATTTCCATTTATGTGTCCCCTTGATTGGAAAAAATGTTATAGAACTTTATGAATACAGATCATGAGATCATATAAAGGTTTGCAGACATACAGACTGAGTAGCATTTTGTATTCCTTCTGCATGTTTGTTGGGTTTTTTCTGAGGAAGGGAGACAATATGTTTTATACTCTGGATTAGTATAATCTCCCAGTAATCTCTGAGTATTTCCAACACTCACAGTAAGTATGGTTGTTAAGAGAATATGGTCATCCAGGAAAAACACCTGACAACCTGTAAACAAAGGTAATGAGGCAGACCATGTGAAAAAACCATTTTAAATACAATACTGAGTAGGGCTGTTGCATAGGCATTGAATAGGGCAGGGTTAATTCTTTAAGTAGTTACCTGCAGTAAATAGGTATCTAGCACTGCTTCATCTTCCACAATTCTTATTTTCTTTTGAAACACCAACACAAGGCTGGAGAGTACATAGCAATGCTCATGCATACATTTTTGTGTTCTTAGTATAAATTCATATGCCGGAGTCAAATACGCAGCTGAGTGTTTTCACACGCCTGGTCCCCATAGGATACCTCAGGGGATATGAACGCATACAAATATCAGTTCTGCACACCCGTGGACAAGTTACTGTGTAAACATTAATTGCAATAAATTAGCAAGTCAGAGCCCACATAGGAGAATATTCCAGACTACCCACCACTCAGTGACTATTGCACAACTCAGGTGTATCCTGAAACCTGAGCCAGAAATCTAGTCACTACAGTGTACTTTATTTCAGTTTGTAAAGTGGAAATTAAAAGCAAACAAAAAGCCCCCAAGAGCATTAGTTATAATGCCATTGCAATTAGATTTGTAATTAATTATAGTGTTTAATCATTCATAGCTGGAAAAACTGTTAGTTGTTATGTGGAGTTCGGAAAACCCTTCAGAAATGAACCAAAGTAATAAACAAGAAAGCTCAAAAATAACAACAAACCAAAATCAACCAGTAAATGACTATATAAACAAAACAAATAAAATGAACCAGTAAACAACACAAATAAGCATGACTCTTCTTGACTAACTTCTTTCATGGGATTACAGTTGTGCCAGAAGGACCATTCCTCCCCCAGCTGATGACAGAGACCTCAGGGATGGTAGACAAGTTTTTGAAAGTTCGAATCATGTGTTTTGACATCAGCAGCAGACAGCAGCAGCTGAATCAATCTTTCCGGTTCTTTGCATGGAGAGCCATGATGCCTGCTTGTGTTTCTTGATCTTTTTTCTCCTTTTTCTCACTTGAAATGCAACAGTTCTCTTTTTTAATAACCATTAATGTTGTTGTTATTTATTTCTAGCTATTCACAAAGAGAAACCTGAAAAGCCAGAAAAACATGAAAAGAAAGCACCTCCTAAAGGTAATGCAGATTATTATGGGATGTTGTACAATTTTAGATTTTAATGTCTATATAGTTTGGGAGAGCATGGAGATGAATATTTAAAGTATAAAGTTCTTCTAGTCCATGCTCTACATTTTTTGGGTGCTCTCACTTTTGCTTAGGCAGGTCTTGATCAGCCCCTGAATGAAGTCTTGCTCAGCATATATTTCTTGCCCAGTTTTCTTGTTTTGATGCACAGAGGTAATTATGAATCATTCTTGTGCAGCTGAAGAAATAAGCCTATGACTATTATATTTGCATTCCTTGATGTCTTTTCCTCCACAATGGGATTAAGTAATTTACCTGCAAAGAAGGCTTTCTCTTGTGTATCAGTTCTCAATCTGGTGCAGACCTAATGCAAGAGTGTTTACTAACTCTCTGTCTGGGTCTTCCATCATATCCAAAAATAGATTTTAATTTTCTTGCCTTTATTTTTTGCAATAACATTTTCATTTCAGTACATGATTTGTACTGTCCTCCATGGCAGAAGTGGCTTTGGTTAAGATTTATATATCAACTAATTATCATATATATTCTGAAGCAATATTGTGTATGAGAGGTGATTTTCAGTCTTCTTTTGACTGATAATTCCACCTTTAGCTATGACTTGGACAGGGGGATTTAAAAATCCAATCAGCTTGCCCTGTTATGCCATTTTTTAAAGACTAACATTTATTATTGCTTAGCATTTAAATGTTTTTGTTCTGAAGATTTGGGGTTTTTTTTACATGCATTGCTTTTTGGAAGCCAGATATTTCTATAATGAAGTTAGGTTTCAGTCTTTGTCTCTTCTTACTTTTACTCAGTTAACTCTTGAAAAAAATACTATGCAATGTATCTTAATATCAGTCTGTTATGGCATTCAGATTAATCTCATGATGATGGATGCATGAATTAATTAGGTTTAATTTGAATCTGTTCAGACAATATAGATTCAAATGTACAAAACAGTCTTTATTGGACTCGACCTTACTCTAAGGAGAAATGTGAAAACAGAAAGTGGGAGTGAAGAAAGAGAAAAAGTGGAAGACTTAAAGCCTTAAAAGACTCTGATAGGTAGCCATTGTCCAGTCACTCTTTAAAAGGGATATTTGGTCATTTTTTCTACTTTCAGTGTATAACTTGAAAGTGTAGGACTTTTTTATAAAGTGAATTCACACTGAAGTAATCCAGAGAAAATAAATGCCCACAATGTCTGTGTAGATTTGAAAAGCAAATAACTTCCAAGAATCACTGAGGTTTTCTTAATGAGCAGCCAGCCTGTTTACCCATTTATCTTCTGCTAGCTAACCAAATAATCACTTAGAGCTTTAATGTTTAATAGCAGCCATGACTCCAGTCACTGGCTGGAAAATTGTACGAAGAACTTGGCCACTTTGTAGCTAGGGAGATGTGCTCCTGCAGTATGACATATAGACATGCTACCCTCTCTTGAGCAGTTTCCATGCCATGCGAGTCCCTGTGGGTGGACTCGGTGCACTAGGGCCCTCATTGCCTTCAGCACTTCCTAAGGCACATTTATGCCGGCAGTATGCTGAGCTATCCATTGCCAGGCTCACCTCCCTTTTGTCTGGGGTCTGCTCGAAACTGGATCGGCTACCAGCAGTGCTGAGGGGCCATTTCAACCACTTGCAGTCCCTAGGAAGTGAGGATGCTCAGGTCCAGGCCAACTTCAGGGAACAGGTGTACTGAAAATCAGGTGACTACTTCCACCACAGTCAGGAGATTTTCTCTACGCTCAATACAAAGACAGGATAATTCTTCAGCCCCTGCTAAAGGCTCCAGAAAGCTTCAGTGATATGAATGCTATTTAAACACATCATCTAAGAAACAGCTATCTTAAAAAAAAGAAAAACCAGTCTAAATTTAAATCATGGCTCATATAGGCAGCAATTCCAGGCTGGAATTCAGTTAGAGAGGATGTTGCTATTATGTAGTTATCACTTGAAAGAAGTGTAATTAACTCTCAAGGCTGTTTTGTTCTGGCAATATGTCTGGATGGCAACCAGGAGAGGAAAGATAGAAGTCCCTGCAAAAAATTTTGACAGCCTTTCTGGGACATAGCAGTGTGTGTTTACACAGTGCATCCTGTGCAGACATGAACTCACTCGAGCTGGGCTCTGAAGTGAGCACCAGGCTTGTGGCTGTGTTTGTATGACAGTGAGCCCAAGCTAAGAAAAATCCCTTTCTGTAAGCCAAATGTAGTCGCACGGTTTCTTGTTGGCGGGAGCACAAGAAGATCAAGCCCGTGCCTGCTCAGAGCCTGAGCAGAGCAAGTTTGTGTCATCTGGAATATGCAGTATAAACATTCCCTACAGAGCTTCAGATCTGTGTGACTGTCTTGTCTTCTGGTTAGGTAAGTCTCAACAGATATTTGGAAGATTTTTACCCCAGTGTGTGAACCTGAGAAAAAGAAGCAAGAATTTTGCAAACTGAAAAACAGGAATCATGAAGAAATGTGAAACTTCCAGGGATGTTTTTGTGTTTTAGCAATATTTTCTCATTCTTTGTGAGGTTTTTTTTTTCCCCTAATATACAATTGTACTCATTTCTAGTAATTCAAAAAGACAAACCTGAAAGACATGAAAAAGCTGAAAAGAAACCTCCTCCCAAAGGTATTTATTTATTTATACTACATTTTTTACCAGAATTTACATTAAAATTCATAAACTTTATTTTATTGGCACAGATAATATAATGTATATGAAAAATCAGCTACATGACGCTATAATGAAATTATAATATAGTTAGAATTAAAATGTCTCTAGAACATCCAGGGGTTAGTTCTATGCATGATCCCTTTTAAAACCTGTTGAAATTTCAAAGGTGAGAATTAAAGGTAAGAACCACCATTTCCCTATAAAAGAAGT